TCAGGCGTGAGTGAGAGGAGTCACTGTAAGCGTCATCTTTATCGCGTGAATGAAGTGCACCTAATCCATAGGGTAAATCCATAGGGTGAATCCATAGGGTAAATTACATCGTTAACGTTAGAGGTACATATTTACTATTTATATATCGTTGGCTATTATTTCCAATTAAATTTATAGAAAAATAATTAGATGTGCTTTTAGTTATACATGTTAAGATAGGTTAGTAAGTTAATAAGTAACGTTTGAATGAAGTTTTTTTAATAAGTATGTAATGAAATAAAAAAGTAAAATCAACAATAAGTTAGGAAGTCAGTGCAACTTTTGTGTCATTGAGAGAGTTTCATTCCGATTTCTGATGACTAATTTACAGATATAGAGAATATAATAAAATTTAGGTTATGATTATATTATAAATCTAGTGTTACGTGTTGCTAGGGCCTGAGTATTTAATTCAAAGAAATGTTTTAAAACAACTTTACCAAATATATTTTTGAAGTTATAGGTATATTAAAATTTTCACGATGCGTGCGCACACCGACAGCCAAAAAGCGACATGATGAAGTTAGCCGATAGCGAAATTTTTGAAGTTAGCTGCATTCCTTTTACAAACAGAGAGTTGTGATATACGGGATGAAATCTTTAGCTATTTTTGTTCTGTTACGCCATAAAAGTATAACTTCTTACGTGCGTACATAAGTACACACACGCGTATTTTTTTATCAAGAATTCATGCCAATGATAATTATTTTAGGTGATTTGGTAATTTGCAAAGATTTTTAAGTATCATATTATATCTACTACCATTCATTAAAATTTAAGTTGCGAAAAGGTTCGAGTCAATTAAGCCTTGTAACTCTCATGGGTGTTGCGAATCGCTAATCACCGAAACGATATCGAACCACGGTTGCAGACAAAGTATAACATGTCCAAATTAGAGACTAGCTTTTGTTTCACATATAACTTGCAAAAATTAGTGCTTTGTACAAATTATTTTTATTTTATCGGTTTCTAATGAGTTTATTCATATTTTATTTTTTCTAAAATTAATATCGTACATTTCTATATTAGATTTTGCCCGCATTTCCCACCACGTAACTTACATAGATGTTTATGTATACATACTTGCATCTCTTCTAATGTTTGGCGAAAGATTTTATAAACTACTAGCGTCGGCAGATCTATCCCACGGGAACCATTAATTTTTCCGGGATAAAAAGTAACCTGTTGTTTGACCGGCAATATAAGGTATCAGCATGCGAGATTTTACTAAATTAGGTGCATAAGTTGTTGTGTACTAAGTTGTATAAGTTACTATGGTTTTTTAACTATCTCACGGGAACTCTTTAATTTTCCGGGATGAAAAGTATTTAAAATATTGACCGGGGATATAAGGTGCCATCATACAAAATTTCATTTAAATGGGTCCAACAATTTCGGAGATTAGCCCGTACAAACAAACAAATAGACGGAGAAACAAAAAAAAATGTAAAAAATCTGGATTTGCTCTACTAGTATTTCTCTTATTACACCCCCCTGACTCGGCTTTTATCTTTATTAAGCATTTTTTTCTATGTACAGACATTCGACCTCTACAGTTTTATTATATATATATATATATATATATATATATATATATATATATATATATATATATATATATATATATATATGCTACCTTACGACCTTTCTAAATAAACGACTATTTATTTAGGAAATTTATAGGTTATTATAATTGTGGTAAATCAATCATCATATATAAGTAGTACATAAAATCATTCAAAAGTAGTAAATCAATCTATCTAGTAAAAGAAGTTTTCATATCAGACTTTAAATTAGCGCCATCAAACGAACAAAAAAACGAACTATTCACCTTTATATTATTATTTATTGTACTCATACAAAAAATATTTATATTAATTTAAAATATTCTCAATATTCTTTCAATTAACATAATACGTTTGATTCTGCAACATCACTATGCTCGACTTAATTAGTCTTAAAAGCGTACCCTCGTAATCCCATCGTGGACAAAGGGGCCGTACAAAAAAACACTCCATGTCACGTCCGAAACCTGGAACATTGAGAATCCTGGACAACTTCATATTTTTATGAGCCTTTTGTGTTTTTTCTCACAGTTGAGAGGCGTCTGAAGGAGCACGATTCAGTAACGTACCGAGGGAGATGTTATCATGGCCATTAGAAGGTCGGTTCTATCAGGAATGGGGCATTTTGACACGTCCATTTCATGTTTTTACTTTAAAACTATTATTTTAGACCACTGATTATATTAGTCTAAATTTTACCTGAACATTTTGCACTAGACACAGTACAGTAAACTGCTTATTCAGCAAATCGAGTGAAACAAAAAATGAAGAAATATTCACACGTTTATATAATGAAGACATCAGAGCATCTGACAAAGTTCCCACGACGAGCCGTCAGATAAGAGGTCTCATAATAACGACGCATATCGTTTTTGCAGCATCATAATCATACTTCGTCGTCGCCACTTCGTCACCTGTTGACACGTGGTTGATATAAAATGCCAATAAATGTCACTTTTTTATGACACATTCGCGTCGCTTATTCAGGTCACGTGCGCTCGCGCAGCCATCAGATTTGTATCGACGCTCGAGCGCCAACTCGCCACCCGGGCTGCTTCTGAGCATGTTATATTGTCGATATTAGACCCTCACATCGTGTGACATATTATGTGCTAATGTCACCTCCGATCAATGACTATTAATGCTCGATTTGGAAAAGATTTTCGACAATCACCTCATTAGCTTCACAAAGGTTATAAAATCGTCTTATTGTACCATTGTGCTAGTACAAGAGCGCTAACAACGTGTGGAGGATCTCGGGGAAGCGAAACGAATCTAGCGATCTATCCGGAATGCCAACGTCCAGCTTGCTTTCATCGATTTATCTATGCGATCGTTAAAAAAATCCAACGGTCCAAATTCATTATTATCTCTCTCCGTCTATCATCGATGCCATTATCCTATTTAAAAGCATCTCTCGATTTGTCCTTAGTTTTTTTTAGTATCGTTTACCCGACAACGTTTCAATCGGGCCCCTAACAATGGGCGAGTTAAGAAAGATGTTTAAGTATTTAGTTACGCTATTTTTTCAATTTTTTTCAATTTAACGGATTCGTGTATTTGAAGGGCCGGAAGGTGTCGTTACGGAATATTACCAGTACTAATAATGGCTGATGAATATAATGGGTATGATCAATAACATATATACATTACCTATGTATAATAAGTGAAAACTTTGTACCCCCTTTTTTTTGCTTTTACAGAGCTTTAATATAATTAATAAAATAGCTTAAGTTTATAAGGGGAAGGACTTTAAAAAGCTAATATTTTATTGAATGGCTTTTGTCCGCAAGTCGGCTTACGTAATTTATTTACATACAATTATTACTGCGTGTCTAAATGCTTCAACAGTAATGTTAGATAGTTTATATGCATATATGTATGTACTTAGCCTTCATCAAGTTCATATTAATATACTAGCATTGTCCGCTCGCGTTCAGATGGCCAAAAAACCAAATTCTTAGGTTTTACATATTAGTATACTCTTACAATGCAGTTTTGTATTTTTTCTCAGAAATTAGATATTTTCCCGCGGTAAAAGTATCCTATATGTAAACTCGGATAACCAGCTATCATCATACCAAATTTCATCAAAATCTGTCCAGTAGTTTTCTCGTGATGCGGTAACATACAGAAAGACAGACAAAAATTCTAAAAATTATAGATTCGGACTCTATATCGGTAATAATATCTATTTCAATTAGATTTTACAAAAAATATTTAATGTACAGATTCGACTTACTTAAAATTTTATTATATGTAAGTATAAATAGATAAAGCTCAAGAGATTGTTTCAAGAGGAAGATACATACATATGTAACTGACGAAAGAACCTTAACATTAAAAAATAATAAATTTAGCTCGATTCTCGACTACGGGGCGATCATTAGTTATCTAATTTTGGTGAACAAAAAAGGGAAGAAATGTGAGTTTGCATGTATATTGTTAAATATTGGCAGATAAAAGAATATTAAGAAAAAAAAACAATTTAGTTTAAGTCGAGAGTGGAAATATTAATAGGCAACGACGGTGAGGTGGGGACGAGCTCGGCGGACACACACGGAGCGTGAAATCGCGGGGCGCGGGAGCGGACACACCTGGCCACCAAGGCCTGCCTTATTATTTGTTGTCTCCCATCCTCCATGCTCGTAAATTTCAGCGTCAACGTGTGCGATGATTGTGGAAAAAATGAGATCGACAAAGCCTTTTCACACTCGGCGATATAGACATAAAGACTTACGGCGATCGGTAAATACCACAGGCCTACAATGCAGCTTCGTCCGGTGAGGCTTAATATGCGTGTATAATTTTTCGTCGTAATAAATTCGGATTGTAATGCCCGATCGCGATTGGTTTGAAGTTTATTTGCGTTTATTTTAATAAAATTCTCATGAAATTACGCTTCGGGACTGGTTTGGCGTTGTGCTTTTGATTGCTGCCACCTACATGGTCGCAGTGTGGCCTACAAAGTCATTGGCGGTCCATTTGCGACATAAATAAATAAGTATTTTTATTACTGTTTTGAAGCTTTTACTACGCAAAGTAATTAAACATTCGACCCTGTTAAAAATTATCTCAGCCTCCCAGTTTGTTTTAATTATTTCTTACAAAGTTTGTCGCATTTTCATAATTTTTTATTTAAGTTATTTTTCGCTTTAAGCTGTTAATGTATTGTTAAATGTAACATTCTATTTTATTGAGTTTTATTATTGTCTTTACAACATTTAAAAATATTTTACAACATCAAAAATTGTAATGCATTTATTATGTCCCGTTAAATTCATTCAAGATATTATTAAAAGTACTAAACTTATATATCATTTGCTAATGGGACTACTTATTTAAGCAAAAATAAAGAATTCAAAAATAATTGAACTATAATCATCAATATGTTACCTCTCTTCATAATGCCACTTGAGTGTGGGTTAGCACTTTTTACTAACAAACTTGAGCAGTTCCATCTATGCCAGCGGAACTGATGCTGGCACTCCTTGACTGCCATCTGTAGACCCTCGAAGGCTATAGCTGCGGTGTCAGGGGAACCGTGGCAGACTGTTCTTTGTTCCCTGGTCAAGCCGCCAACGAGCCGGCACGTGAGACTCGAGCTGAGTTTCAACTGATGAGGTAGGAGACTATCTCTTGAGCTAGAAAATACATAACTATAAATAAGTGAAAATACGTTTTTATATTCTAAACGAAGAACTGAAGTTATAAAGATATGAAATAGTTACTGAAACAAAGTTACTGAAATAAATAAATAAAATATACTATAATAGTCGTTTCTTTAAATAAACAAGAACTAATCTATTTTGTCTTTGCCTATTTATATACAAACTAGCGACTCACCCTAACTCCGCTCGGGTTCGTCTCTGCTTACGTTTTAACTTTAAGTATAGATTTCTCAGAGATGAGATATTTTCCCACAGTAAAAAGTATCCTATATGTTCACCCGGAGAACCAGCTGTCATCATACTAAATTTCATCAAAATCCCTCCAGTAGTTTTTTCGTGATGCGGTAACAGACAGACAGACAGAAAGACAAAAATTCTAAAAACGATAGTTTCAGCCTCTGTATCAAAAATAATGACTATTTCAATAAGATTTTCCAAAAAATATTTAATGTAAGGATTCGATCCAGTTAGAATTTTATATAATGTATAGATAGATGTACAGTGAAAGTAGTTATACTAAGTAAAAAATATGAATTCTGTTAGTATTACGCATTTACTAAAATGTCCGTTAAAAATATTATTAGTGTGTAAGCGTCGTTATAATTAATTTATTTCGAACAGATGCTATCATACAAGCTTAAAATACTTTAATAATGAAACAATTTGTATTCGCTCCCGACTTTAAACAAATATTTTTAAAGTATTCCGCGTCGGAATTATATAGGGGATTTTAATTAATAATTTTGTATGGTGAAGACTGTTGAATATTCAGAGGGAATGCTTCCTGGATTTTTCTGAAATACCAGGCTTTGATTAAAAATATATTTAATCTGTTAAAGTTATATAATGAATGAATAATTCAATTCGTCTATCGAATTAAGTTAATACGTTGCAGTTTGCACTGCTTTTTTTGTTGTCTATCCTAATATTACATAGCTAAAGAGATGTTTAAATGTACTTATCTCTGGTACTACCAATTTGATTTGAAAATTTGTTTTTCCATTGTATAGGATATATATATATAATCAAAATGTTTTATTATGGTATAACCATTAGTAGTGGAGAAATAACCTATATAAATAAATAAATAACGCACGCGAAGCTACGGGCAATATGTAGTGAAATAATCAAAGAAATGAGGAGAAACTTTGAGAAATTTTCATTTATCAGATAAAGAAAACACATGCCAACTTAAATACTAGTGAGAACATATAATTAAGGCTATTATTATGATTTCATTTGTTTCCATGATATTAAATAACTTTTTTAATATATTAGATGGCCTATATTCCTTTAAATCGTGTCACTTTTCGTCACGTTCACGCTCTGCGGGTATAAACGTTGATCTGATGACTGCATCACACTACGTGATTCGACACTTTGGATTTTTTGTTCAGCACTGAGATGTAAGTACAGTCACTGTCATAAAGGATGTTATAAAATATTTTTATTGAACTACATTTTTTAACGTTATCTTTAGATATATAAAACCCATACTGTTGACTTTTAACTTTAATAGAATTCTGTTATGCTTTTCATAGCGTGTACGAATGTAATAATGGGGTCGTTAAAACCATATTAATATATTGGTATATAATTTTCAATTTTTATATTTATAATATGTATGTATTTAAATTTATATATGTGTAGTGTATCAACTACCTGGTGTCTATGGACACAGGACTCGTAACATACCATGGAACTAGATGCAGCTGTGTGTTAATGTCCCAACATATTTATTTATTATTATTATTTATTTATAATTGAATGTGAATAAAATCGGTAGATTGATAATAACTGTCTATAATTCTTGCTCAGTGTTACCATAGATTTTATATAAACATAAAATAATATTTATATAATATAAGAAGAGCTATTTAACTACTACATACCTACTGATCACAAAAAAACTGATAAGTAATAAAAAAATTGAATAATTATTATTTTAATACATAAATATATCAAAAGCTAAACTACAAAGCAAAAGGAATGCCTCACTGTCATATTTTCAACGTCTTACTGACTATTGATAGATTAACATGGCATTTATAACACCGTTTAGTGTTCGCCAGATTAACAATAAAGTATACACTTTGCCCCTTACGGAAATTACACCAGAAATTCAATTCTTTTAACGTAACAGCATAAAGAAGATACGCATTTTGATAGAGTAGATAATTTTACAATCAAAATTTTCCGCTTACAAATTAAGCTAAGAAAATTAAACAGGCATATGAAAATGAATGAACAGGCATATGAATATGTATATAAGTAATAAAATTCTGAGTCGAATCTGTAGGTACATTTTTTTTAATCGTATTGAAAAAGTAATTATATTATCGATACAGAGGCCGAATGTATAGTTTTTAGAATTTTTGTCTGTCTGTCTGTCTATCTGTAGTGCAATTCCTATGCAAAATAATATTTATCTTCACTAATATCATAAAGAGGTAATCTTTCGATGTTTAGATATCCATACATAATATTATAAATGTGAAAGTGTGTTTGTTTGTTTGTTTGTTTGTTTGTTTGTTTCTTTGTTTCTCGTTTTTCACGTTGAAACAGATAGATGGATTGGCGTGATTTTTTGTGGGGATAGTTGGAGGACTGGAGAGTGACATAGGCTACTTTTTAACGCGGTAAATTATCTGATTCCTACAAGAAAACACGTTAAAATATAATCCAAAAAAAAAATGATCAGAACTACTTGAAATTTGGTATTATTAATGCTCTTCAATACAAATAATATAAATAAATACGTGTATTAGCATTTTTCGATATTCATCTTATAAGGGGGTAAAATAGGGGATGAAAGTTTGTATGAAACTACCTTTTAGAGATTTTTTTTGTAGTTTTACCGCGAGCGAAACCGCGGGTTCTGCTAGTAGGAAATAAAGACTTTAGAGATAGCTTCTGATATGTCATATAGAAAAGTGCTTTCAGTAATAGAAAGTAATGTTTAACATATATTTTATCCCGGAAGCTATATTGAGTTGATATTTATTATTTATTATTATTGGAGATAGATAAGCTCTGATAAAGTATGTGTGAATAAGCTTAGAAAAATCTAGACATCGCTAGTCCTATATAAAAGTACGGTAATCACAAGAGAAATATAAATAAACTTCGAGAAAGCTCACTTTGGGTAAAAGTTTAATATTTGTTTCTATGTTACGGATTCTAGTTAAAAAGGCTTTCGTGCATGTAAGTTTAGTTTGTATATATGTACATAGTTTAAGGTACATCTATTTAACTTCCACGAATATGCTCCATCTGTTATCAGTTAATTGTACTTGAGAAAGAAATGGTCAAGAGACAGTATGCCGTCATACGTACTTGGTTCCGTCGAATTTAAAAATTATAGTAGTGTTCGCCGAATGATCAAAATTCAATCATAATCATTATTCAATATTTGAGGAAACCATATATGGATAGACTTTATTATATATATTAGATTATATTTATCTTTCTAGGTAGTATTTAAAAAACTATCAGTTTTGAAAAAAGTATATTGATAATACTAAAGCTTGTTAAATAAAACTATGTTTTCGGATTATTTCGTGGATTTATTTTGATTTTTGTTTCCCGACGTTTCGAATGCTTTACAGCATCCATGGTCACGGGAGAGACTGAGGTGTTACATGTCTCGAAGGTATAGTTGTTATAGACAGCCTACCCACAAATAACAAAATGAAAAATTGCATCAAGTACCTTACAATATTTTATAACTTTAATTTTTTTTTTAATTTTAATTAGTTTTATAATTGAATATGGAATATTATTTATTTAATTTTTGCTGTTATCATTATAATTATTACAATTTAAAAAATATTAATTAGTAATCTTTATTTATTTAGTGTTGCCATTATTATATTTATAACCATAAATGTTGTTGAAAAAATATAAAATATAATACTAATTATTTAAGCCACATAATTGTTCTATGTGTAATTTAAAAAGTTAAAATTAATTAAGAATAATAGTTTTAATTTAGTTTGCTATTATTTGAAAAGACAATTTACTAAGCAACACTATAACTATATACTTTTACAAATGAAAAATGATGAAATTTGGTATGATGATAGCTGGTTATCCGGGTCAACATATAGGATACTTTTTACTGTGGGAAAATATCTCATTTCTAAGAAATCTATACTAAACGTTAAAACGTAAGTAGGGACGAACCCGAGCGGAGAGAGAGTGAGTCGCTAGTATTACATAAAACTGAAACAAATTGTTAATAAACTACATATAGGTATTACATCTAACCACGGAACACTAAAGTGTTAGTAACAAAAGTCAAACAGTGCTTTCCATCTTTACATAACTGTGTAACTTATCTCGCCTTCCCACGCTTAGGGAATGCCGGTATCATTAAAGGGTTGGACGAATAACCGACGTTTAATGATCATAATAACACTCAGTCATTACTATCATTGTCGTATCATTTTTGCATCGCAATGTCATTATTTTAATGATTTAACACCCGTCGGTCATTGTTTTATATGAGTTTGCACAATTAAATAGGGTATTGACATTTAATTATGAGTTAATGGAGTTAAAACGATGTTATAATATGTACAAGTTTACGTCTTAATATTACCGAAATTTATAAATCATTAAAATGATATATATAATATATAAATTATTTTTCAAATTAGGTTTTACTATTTAACCGACTTCAAAAACGAAGGAGGATTTTTTTATATTCATTATACTAGCTTTCGCCCGTTACTCTACTCTCGACGTATGTACGTCTCTTATAAAAATTATACAAGATTTATTCTGTATCTGTAGTTTTAGGGATTGTTTTTCGTTTATAAACAAACAAACATTTTACATTATATTAACGTAGATTTTACAATAGTAATATGAATTATGTAATAAAAATAAAATTTTCTTTAAAAGTGCACTTTCTTGTAATAATTAACGACATATTGATTATATTATTTCTATCATTGATTTTTCAAATAAGGTATGTATATATCAACTTGAATATCCTTCAAAATCATTTTATAACCGTCGGATCCTGTAAATCCCTATGAAATAATAAAATTATCGATTTAACAAAACGCCGCAGTAACAATTACAATGTAAGTGTGATGTAAATCGCTTTCTCTTGTTTATCGTGATTTCTGAATCTTGTTGGATACCTAGTTTTTCTTTGCAACTGTCGCATGCTACGCAACTAACAGCTTTTTCCAACAAGTCGTTAAACTCGGTGATCCAATTAAAACTCCGGTCTGAACTTAATATAATTGCTCTGAAAATTCCTGCCGTCGAGATAAAAACAATAATTTCGTGCTTTAAGACCAGGCAAGTAAAAAATAATAAATCTGATGTCGGAGTCGGGCTGATGAAATGCTACGATACTCATTCAGAAAGGTTATTTCAATACAAATTACAGCTACTTGCGTTGCTTCTCTCTGCATGCCGACAATTCTGCAAATACTTTACTCTTCTAACCCGCGGGTGGATAAAGACTCCGCCAAAATGCTTAAGTACAAAAAGCGACTCTAGTACTCATATGCTAAGAATTAGAATACGGTAAATATATATAGATTTACGATCATTTGGTTTTGCATGTTGTACGGTCTGATTGAAATTCCGTGTACCAACAATGTATATCTATGCTTAATACCTATTTGCTCTGTTTATAATCAGTCAATACATATTTGTTTATCCTTTAAGTATTAAGAATAAATGTAATTAATTCAATCGATTAAACACATATTTTGCGTATCGATAGTATCTCGGTAAAGTTTTTTACTCAGAAGATTAATAGGCAGCCGCCTATGGCCGATTAGATTAACGATAGAATGGTTCTTAAACGTTTATTTATTTATCATTTTGTTATTTAGTCAATCTAAGAGATATTGCATATAAATTCCTATGTACGAGTAGCAGTCTTACGTTTTAAGTTATTTTACTGCGAATTGAAAGCGCATTTTGCAATTAAACTTACATACCTATTACCTATATATAATATATACCTAATTTAATACTTTCCTACACTTATGCGAATATTTGATATTTTAAATAAAACCTCTTTTTTTTAATATGTATACTTAAATAAACCTTTTTAATTTTATTCGCAGAATTATTTCGATTTTTGGGTCCCGACGTTTCGCATTTTTTATAGCAAGCTTTATTCATAATAGGGACCATCCCGAATTAATTTTTGTTACAGATATGATTTTTTTTCTTTATTAAATTTTTATACTTATCGGTAGGTACTTTAAAGATACCAAGGCGAAGCCACTCATAATAAGTATCCTTTTTAAGGTTTTAGCTCAATACGTTAAATTATACGTCTGAAAACTAGTGCTACTCATAACAAAAAAATAAAAACCGACTTCAAACAAAAGCACTAAAAAGTAAAAAATAACTGATTGGTAGTTATCATTTACTATACATACCTAATCAAATATTTTCGTACCTAATCAAATATTCTCGAAATCAAATTCGAAAATTCAAAATAATGCTATAATCTCCCGCGGTAAAAAGTAGCCTATGTCACTCTCCAGCCCTCCAACTATCTCCACACAAAAAATCACGTCAATTCGTCTCTTCGTTTTGACATGAAAGAAGGATAAACAAACAAACATGCTTATACATTTATGATATTAGTATGGATATTGATTGAAGCAGAGAGTATTGAAAAAACGAATGATATATTAAGTCTATAATTTTTTTGTACCTATTTTACTTTTATTTTAATTGAATGATGATATATTTTTTAAGGGGTATCGCGCTTGGGAAACCGAGTGAAGTGGGTTCAAATCCCAGTCCCGCAACTCTGAGATATTCGTACGTGCAAATCATTTCCAACATATGTAATTACCATTTGTTTTACGGTGAAGGAAAAGTGAAAACATCGTGAGAAAACCTGCATGTCTGAGAGAAACTAGCTAGTTTTTAAAAGAAATTTGAGCTCCACTAACCCGCATTTGGCCAGCATGGTGGACTATGGCCTGAGCCCTCTTGCATTTAAGGGAGCTTAATATTATACCTTGCCCGGCAGTGGGACGTTAAAAAGGGCTGCGTGCGGGCATTTCTTGTAAAAATTGTTACGTATTTTTAATTATATTTATAAATTAAATTGTACTTATTGTGGTCGAAATGCGACCAAAATAATTATTAAAAATTTGAGGAAAATATATATAAATAGATTTTACCTTTCTGTATAAAAAACAACTGTTTCCATTTTTTTATTGATAACTAGAGCTCATCAATAGCTATTAAACAAAAATAATCGATTGCCAAACAGAGGAGAAAAAGATACTGAACTGTTCTATTCCATATTCGCCCCCTTAAAGGATGATATCCGGGATAAAAAGTAACCTATGTCTTTCCCAGGGTCTCAAACTATCTTCTTATCAAATTTCATCTAAATCGATTCAGTAGATCCAGAGATACCCCCTACAACGTCACAAACTCACGAACTTTACCTCTTTATAATATTGGTATAGATATGCATTTTAATGTTTATTACATACTATTATAAAAAAGTAAGTTTTGCCAGTTTATCTGTAGGGAATAATGATCGAAGTTATTAAACGGGTTCTCATAGTTTTTTTCATAACACAAAGCTTTACTAACCTAGAGTACTACGTTGTTATGTTGTTGTTAATTTTCTATGTAAATTATGAGAATAAGAGATATATGGAGATTTCATTGGGTTTGTTACGAGAGATACGAGATATGAGTGTCATAGACTCTATAATAGCTTAGACGAATATCCATACCTACTAATAAATGGAGAGCCGATTTTTTTGTTCGGTTATACTGCAATAACTACTGAACCTATCGGAATAATGCTCATACCACAAGATGCAGCGTGTTTCGGGGAAGGTTTTAGCATATGATATGTTGGTGATTAATGGACTGCGCGGGCGGAGCCGCAGGAAAACGCTAGTATGTATATATTATAAGGGTTTGAATATATTGACAGTGCGATGATATACCTACTACGTAAATTGTAATAATGTAAAAAATATTGTAATTAAAATTGTTCCACTTTAAGTAATTTGCCTTGCGCTATTTGCATTAAGTATTAGGTAAATGATAAAAATTGAAAAAAAAAACCGTTTTTATTGTATTTTGCTCTTCAGAGTTTACACAAGCTGTCACATGCGATCATATAAAATATGTCTAACCTATAGTTTGCTATAGAGATTTACATCTTAAGAGATCCTTATAAGTAAGGATATAAACACGTTATGTGAGGACTAACTAAACTAGTTCGCCTACTTATACAATTTTTGTACTTTAACAATAATTCATTACGGATATACTATAATTTGCCATGATTGGAAGCCTCGTTACACCCTAGAATCCGTTGGTTGAATATCAATCACACGCCAAGCAGGTTGGCGATTATACGACCACGTGCAGTGGCATATCGAGACGCATTTACATACTCCGTAAATCTCTGCGCCATTGGGTGGCCCGACACATGATTGTCACCTTTTAAATTTGCATTCATTATCATTTATTACCATTCCGCTATCATTATTCAAGGCGGCTGTTACCTACTTACGATTTGCATGATTAGTGTCGTGATGTTTTAGTTTGTTCAGTGACGCCCCTATTTGTCTGAGCCGAATCATTGTTACGTGCGATTAGTTCAAGGGTGCTAATGTAAACTTAATTACCATGACTTAAGATTTAATTTTGCTTCAAAGCAACTTCGTTCGTGCACATGACTATTCAACACAGCTATTGTTTGGTTTGTATAACAAAATATTGTCTTACCTTGCCATCTTAAAAATTATAATCAGCAGAAAGTATATTGCCGCCGGATTCTTGTTGGGCATTCTGTGGTTTTCATCTACAGAAACTCTCGGCTTTCTCATGTTGGTAGCACTACATCCTCTATTTTAGGGTTCATCGTTTATGATGATCACAAAAAAAACAGCCGCGAAACTTTCACCTCAAAACAGGAAATGGGTTGCACAAAAAATCATCCACTCTCAAATTCGGAAACCGGTTATCGTGTTCGAGTCGCTAATGTCTTATTTACTTTATGACAGCGCGAAAAGCTTTAACTTTTGTATTGCTTTACTATTATCGGAAGTTTAATTGGCGTTATCACCAAACTGTTTATGTTTTTGATTATTTTCACAAGATTTTCGCAAATGATCGTGTAACATTTGTTTACGTCGGTAGCTGTCCGTCGGCGCGAAGCCGTTGGCTTGTCTATAGAGCGTGTTTGGCGGACGCGTTCGAGCGCGTGGGACTCGAGGCGTGTTCTTCGCGCCGCCCAGACATCGAGAAAAAAGTTAGAGGGGCGTGCGGACGCCTCTGTCGGCTCCACCTACTCTTATTATCCTTGTTTACGCAATTATTACTCGATATTTCGGCACAAAACTGTATCACTGATGAGCATTAGACGGCCGTGTGTTCACAAAGCGGGCTCGTTTGACAGTGGCACGGTGGACGCGATCCCTGCCTATATAAAATGCCGCCCCACGCGTTTTATTCCCGACCATGGGAAACGATGTCCCGTTGTTATTGGTTTGTAGATTGTTTTGTTACGAAATTCCTAGAATTGTATCAAAGTATATGAAAAAGAAATGTACCTATTTATATATTTATAAAAATTATCAACTTGATTTTATATCAATGTTCAATAAAAACAAACTCAAAATATGCGAAGCGTTTAATATGAAGTGCATAAATCATGGGTTTTACGTTCTCGTTTACCCATACCTTTGCTATGTTACTAATTATGTATTTACATTAATTTATAAGTTATTAACTACAAAAAATTAAGATGAATAATAATTTAATTTATAAAATCTACATATATACGTATTTTTTAACCTTATGAAATATCGATTAAAGTGTCGCCCAATCAAACCATTCGTCTGAGATCATCATCTTGACTGACCCATTGAAAGCACTTCATATTTTTAAATAAAACATTTTTTTCAATTCATCATTCTAAAGGGCAAATTGACAAAATACCCTGTTCAGTTGAAGATAAATCGTTGAATGATTGAGAGGGTTGTGTCTATTGAAAGTGACCGAAGGGCGACCCCCTCATTAGGGTGACAGTCGCGTGCGTATTGAATAATATGTAAATAATAGTGATGTGCATGATACTCTGTTTTGTATTTCAATTAATACATAATTAAATAATATGGGTATTATATTACCTACGCGTTCAACGATAGATAATTGTATCTATATAAAGATGTATAATGCACATCTTTATATTATATTTCAAAATATTTCTAAATGTTTTATAAATGTTTGTCTTTTAATAGCGTTGCATCCTTAGTTAATGCAAATGTAATGGTGTCTTAAAACAAAGCTTACAAAATTTAATAAGATTTTTTACTATTTATTGCTTAGTAGGTACATTTTTGTTAATTTACTAAAAACTGTCGATAAATTTATTAAAATGGTAATGCACATCCCTACAAATTACATCATAAAAGTTGTACTTACCGAAAACATTTATACGTGGGGTATGGTAATTAATGAAGTTGTAACATGTAATATTCGTACAACTTTGAAGAGAAAAAAGTTTAACATCTCCTCCTTCCTGTTTCCATTTTACATGTTGTTATTCTTTTAATGTAATATCTGGAACCTAGTCTAGGTACCTACTAGGTTTAGGTTCTAGGTTTAATTCTTATATTTCATAAAAATATATTTGTGAATTTCTATTATAGTAATAGTGTTGTATATAACAAAAAATATAAGAATTAAATATTATAGTTTCAGTAACTTTTAAGCTTAAAGTACAAAGTATATAAAAAAAAACTAAAGCAACAATATGCAGTGAAATAAATAACTTTACCAAAAATAATTACGTAAGAAATGATTGCTTTTGTTATATCTGTTTATGCGCGGTCAGGGAGGTATGGTAATAACTTCTTTGATCTGCCACGCACCACTCGAGTGCTCTCCACTAAAATTGGTTTTATTTGCCGGATTCGCTTTAATCGAATTAATTTTTATCTCGATACTTGTTGTTTATGCCAAATTTTATCGATTTTTTAGTGATTTTATTAATTGTTATTATTTATTTATGAAAATTTAGTATATGTCTCGTTTTAATTTGAATGATGTTCTTTTAAATGTTATGACTTTTGAGTTGACGTATAAATAAAGGAGGTAAATTCGTTATCGCTGTAAAAGGGTATTATAGAAGCTATATTCATTAGACTCGCTATACCAATTGCTTTTAATATATATATAAATATTATTGTAGGTTCTCAAAGTAATTTTGCCCAAGACTCAAGATAACAGTTTGATATACTATAGGTATAGTTTGAGTTACGAAGAAGAAGAAAAAATAAATTGTCCAGACTGGACCTTACTGGTCCAGCGTATGTCAATAGCCAGCTTTACACTATATGTATGGAATTATTTGATTAGATCTATTACTGCATAAAAGATGGATGAGATGAACTGCATTTAACTCAATTTTTTTAAACAAACTTTATTACCACTATTTTGTATTGTATCATTTTGCAATGTACCAAGATCAAGTACTTTGCCACTATTCCATGCGGACATGATTTGTACAGTTCAGTACAGTAATTAAGTGTTCATTTGTTTTGTATAAATAATTAAATATAGGTATTTGTAATTTCCTTTATTGATGTCTATACATATAATAAAATTCTGAGTCCAACCTGTACATTAAATATTTTTTGGAAATCTTATTGAAATAGTCATTATTGTCGATACAGGGGCTAAATCTATCGTTTTAAAAAAAATATCTACCTGTCTGTCTATCTGTAATCGCATCACGAGAAAACCACTGGAGAGATTTTGATGAAATTTGGTATGATTATAGCTGGTTATCCGGGTCAACATAGAATACTTTTTACTGCGGAAAAATATCTCATCTCTGAGAAATCTATACTAAACGTTAAAACGTAATTAGGGACAAAGCCGAGCGGAGCGAGTGTAGCTAGTTGATAAATAAAATTATCAATTTACGTACACAAAGAATCAAATTTAAAGTAACCATTTTTTTTTAACGTTGGGAAATGCATTAACGCACGAAGTGTGGGACTCACTGGCAAAGCCAGTACTATCCACTAAAACCCAACAAAGCCTTCCCCCGTAGTTACTTAGCATGGGTGACAAAACGTCGCAGGATCGCTTACGCATTCAAAACTACGACGCCATTGATCAACAGGTCTGCCATAAGTCTGGGAGTAATCATAAACGATAATATTAATGTTGCTCCAAGGTCGACTCTGTAAAAAAAATCAGAGAAGTTATGTTAGCAATTTAGTTCAAATCTTTGGTACACCGCCCCCGAATTTTTTTCGACTCTTTTCTCTGATACGTGATTTTCTATATTTTATATTACAGTTCTACGATTCATTGGAGGAATTTTTTTACCTAAAAAATTTCGCTGTCTGAATAATCGTTTAAAAATAATGTAAATAAAATTTAATGTTTTTCTGTAAAATATGGGATCTCGAAGTACCTACTTCAAATTTACGAAATGTTACTTGAACTTAAGATTTAAGAGAATTCTTGTGCACTCGTTGCAGGAAAACGGTAGTCTCTGATATCTATAACAATCGATTTATATTCAATCGCACAACAGAAGATAGTTTAACAATATTGACGAAGTGATCCTTCTAATCTCAAAAGCGATCCGTCATACGAAAGTGCCCTATCAAGCATGCAAGGACTAAGGACCAACACAATGCTAACAGTTAGCTTGCCACTCGACTCATCTCGTACATTAACCATTAGTAACCATTGGTTTAACTGTACAATTTATGAAATTACTTTGAGGTCATACAAAAACACTTAAAAGGAACATTAAAGTCTGTAATCTATTTTACTCTATATGGGGTAATAAAATTAGTATGTAAAAAAAGACAATGCGCGAAGCAAACTTTCATAGTTACTTAGCATGTCTATTACGTGTGACAAAACGTCTATAGAGCTAGCTAACAGCTGTAAATACTTGGCGCCATCTCGAGCAACGTATTCCGTGGTAAGTCTGGGAGTAATCATAAACGATAATATTAAGCTTGGTGTGCTCAAAGCCTACCTTCAAGGCGCGTAGTTCTTTTCTTTATAAAAAATTCGTATGGTATGTACTGTTCTCATCTTAGCTCAAAGCTACTTCCAATTGCGCTCCCTTGCTTAATTTTTTATCGACGATCAAGCTCTCTCCGATACGGCTTGATTTTTTATATGTTGGATCTTACTGCATCTTCTACGGTTTTATCATGGGGACTTTGTTACCTAAAAGGAATGTTCGGACTGATCCCGGCTGCTGAATTTCATCATCGTTTAAAAATAATGTAAATAAAATTTAATGTTTTTCTGTAAAATATGGGATCTTTTTGGATTGTGACGTTTTAGGGGGTAATCTCTGGATCTACTGAACCGATTTAAATGAAATTTGGTAAAAAGATAGTTTGAGAACCTGGGAAGGACAAAGGATACTTTTTATCCTGGAAATCATCCTTTAAGGGGGTGAAAATGGGGATAAAAGTTTGTATTGGGAAGCACGCTAGGGACGCTAAGGTGAGTCGCTAGTATACCTACTATAAATAAGCTGATCCAACGGGCATTTTGCTGTTCACATTCCAATAAATTACTTTGAGGTCATACAAAAACACAATAGGAACTTAAAGTGCTTTTAGTTTTCCCGAATTTATAATTTCTGGGCAAGTTCGTGCTTACTTTTTGTTTACCAACTTGCTATACGTTATTTTATTATTTAGTTACTCGTACAAGTGTGTATATATATATATATATATAACTGATTTCTACATAAAACTATCCCTTAAATAGATGTGTTAGTATTTGAAACACCACTATGCTAATAACATGATGCGTACCGTTATAATAATATATG